TAATCTTGCCAGGTGCTGGCCCTATCCTACGTGAGCTTGCCTCTGAAGTGGGGACCGGGGCTAATGCCTGAGAGATCTGCAAAACGAAGGTTTTCCAAAACCAAGAGACTTCTGTCAGCAACATGACATTGGGTTCCATTTCGAAAGCAACCTTTGGGTGTGTAGACGTATGCTTGAAAAAAACCTTGCAAGTTGCAAGCATTCTTTTGCGCAGTGCTATTGGTGTTTCTACCTCAAGAGCCCATACATTGAGCTCGAGATTGTAAAAAACAATTACGTGGCATGCGCTTGTTGTTTGTGAAAGCTAGAACAACCCAGTATCACACACTACACTTGCAGATCCTTTCAAAGGCATTTATAAAGAGAGTCCACAACTGCCGAGTTGCCCTCATGTCCCATCCCGACTCTGACGAAGAGTGGCTAGAAGAACTTCTTTCATGCCACAAATCTGCAATTGAGGCTTGGCACGTGCAGAGTCACGTGCAGTAAAACAAACATGAAGCTTGTCAACCCATCATCCTCCAGCCCACAGCCCCCTGTGTCGGAAGGCCGCTCCTGATCAGCGCTGCTTTGCTCCATCATGTCCATCGTGTGGCCTGCCACCGTGCGCAGTCTCATCCAGGCCAACACCGACTCCGAACTTGAGGTTTGGAGAACTTGTCCCAGAATCTGTCCGCTCTATGCCGCGGTTAGAGGAATGCTTGGGAAAGCTTGAAGGGGATCTGTTCATTGACACCTGCTTTCCCAAACCGGATGCAACTGCAGGTTCCGCTTTGGGACACTGCCTTAATAAGGTTAGCTGCTTGTTGAGGAAAGAATACCCATGTACTTTCAAATTTGGGTTTACTCACTGCTTGAGTTGGAGATGGCACAACAATTTGTACGGGTACCATCATAGCCTCGACAAATACCACAAAATGATTGGGCTGTACATGTCTTCAACCACCACTGGTGCTGCGCTCATGGAAGCCTTCCTCATCAATCTGCACAGTGGAAGTCAGCTTAAATTTGGCTAGTAAGTGTTCCTGTTTGTTGTCATTCAGGTTGACTTTAGGTAGATGGTGTTCGCCCCTGTTGTCTGCATGGATAAGGAAGACCTGGTTGCCGGAACATCCGCATGGGTGGAGATTCGACTGACCATCCGGACTATGCCTCTGATGATGGGCCTTTCTTTACCTACATGGTGTACAGGTGCTTGAAGAACCCACCCCCAATCAAAAAGATGTAATTAACCTCCGGGGTATGAATTCGAACACTTGTGTTAATTGGACACAAGGTGATGAAGTTTTCTGGCACTGTCCAGTGTGGTTAGAGATAGCGCATGTGGATGGCGTGAATCGCACCCTGCGCGCCTCCCAAGTCTCATCCACAAAAGAGAGTCTTGGCACCGCCTTGGCCAAAAACATTTGGAGCTCAACCAACCCCATAAATCAAGGTCAAGTGCCCACTGCATGTCATTGCGGGACATTGCGAGAATGTATGCATTGGTGTGAGCAAAGAGGCTCGAACAAAAGGTTGCCTGTTCTTAATCTGCTTACAAAAGCCGACATGAAAAGGCCCGCCGCATCTCTCGACCCTCCGTCCAATCATGGAGCTAAGACCCAGACAGACAAGATTCTAGAAGGCCATTGCATCGAACAAATGCTATGGTGCTATGTTCTCAAAACGCTTTGAAAGACAAACCAACCATAGTCAACAGTTGGTGGGTTCTGTGTCGACTATTTGTTTTGGCAGGAATGTTGAGGGCTGATGCGATTTGCGTGGTTGAACCACCTGCTCGTGCTGATTCACCTGCTCGAGAGCGCCCGGGACAGAGACTCCGTCACTTTGTGCCTCGCATGCCCAAGTGATTCGAAGGGTGTGCATGAATAAACGATAGTGATGTCATGCACCGATAAAGGTGTTTGTGTGCGTGTGTGTGTGTGTGTGTGCAAGCATGTGTGTGTGTGTACGTTTCATGTCTAAGTCTCGCTGTCGCTGGCTAGGCGCCGTTCAACAACCTCGCAATCGAAGCTGCTCCGCGTGTGTTCGGACCTGCTCCATACGATCCGCTCTTGCATGGTCTGCTTGAAGAGGAAGGCACGCTGCCAAAAGTGATTCCTTCCTTTGCATTCCTTCTTTTCCCTGACGAATTTGATTTGGTAGTTGCCTCCCTGGACTGACCAGGCCGTGACACGTCAGCTTCATCGACCGGCCGTTTTGATCCTGAGGGCGGGTCCACCTGATGCCCTGTGATACTCTGTGTGATGTACTTCATGTTTGAAGGCCCTGTGATACTCCCATGTTCCTTCCCGATGAAACGGCGTCAGACGATCCGAGATTGATAGATTTACTGTGCTCGGCATAGCCTAGCTGTGGCCTTGACAATGGTCTGAGATGCTGCAGCTGTGACATCGCGTCCGAAGATGAAAACGCACTGCAAGTCACCAGGTGCATGTGTAGTTGAAGCCTTGATGTGATGGAGCACTCAGGGATTTGTTTTTGAGGCTCTTGGCCAAGATTTGCCGTTGCAAGTTGATGCCAAGGCCTCTTGCGCTGCTGCCGTCCGCAGTGCCAAAGCCGCTGCCAAGGAGGCAGGCCAACACATTGCTTCAAGCACGGCCGCTTTGGCAGAAAAGTCAGAAGGGCATGCAGAAGAGAGCTGCCACAAGCTCATTGACCAATATGGTCTTGCCTTGGAACTTCCCAACTTCCCATGACCATGGTTGAGCTTCATGATGGCAATGAGAAGTACCCTGTGTTTCTTCTCAGCAGCTGGATGGATCTGATTCTGAAACTGGCCCTTGCTAGAAAAATTGTTCTGTCTTGCAAAGTCGCCAAAGTCTGTTCATGTCATTCATGTGTTTGTGTTTGGCGTGTTGGGGCCATTTGCAAATATAGATTCTGCTGTAGCAAGCAAGGAAGTTCGGAGCTTGGCACCATTTCTGCGGGGCAACCAGGAGAGAAACAGCATGTGACCAGCTGAGTTTATTCTGGGAGCGCTTCAGGGTTCTTAGACCCAACCACACAGTGTTTGCCCTTGAACGGGAAAAGGGCCTGGTGCTGAGCCGCGTTCTGCCTTTGTTACTGCACGGGGACGAGGGGCGTGGCAGGAAGCGAAATGCTGTCCTGTGCATGAATGCCCACCCCATCCTAGGGTATGGCGTGGAGACCAGAAATCGGAAACGCAAATTGCTTCACCGTGGCAAAGAACAACAGATGAACTACACTGGGAACACATATGCGTCCAGGCTACTGCTTGCAATGCTTCCAAAGGCGGTATATGACCTGCACCCAGATTCGTTCTACCGACTTGTGGAAATCATTTCAAAGGACATTTGCTCTTTGGCGGAGGATGGCTTGAAAGGCCCTGACGGTTTGCAGTATTGGTGTGTGAGCCTCTACACAAAGGGGGACTGGCCCTATCTTTGTAAGATCGGAAGACTGACAAGGAGCTTCCGGAACATGCCTAAGCAGGCATCCAGCAAGAAGGACTGCACAGGAATATGTCATTTATGCCTTGCGGGGAGGCCCCGCATCCCATTCGAGGATTACAGTAAAAATGGTGTCTGGCAGTTTTCAGTGCAAGAGGAAGAGCCTTGGCAACTACGCCCTGAGATCCTCAGGTGCCCTCACGACGAGTCCTTCTCGGAAACGTTCTTCGCCATTGACCCCTGGCACAGCTTTCACCTGGGCGAGGGTCGCAACTTAGTGGCCAACGCTGTCCAGCTCATGCTTGACTTCGTTGATGGTGATTCGGTTGACCAGCAATTGAACCTGCTTTACCTGGACTACAAGCAATATTGCAAGAGGAATTCCAACCAGGTGTATGCACTGCGTTTTACCAAAGAACTTTTTAGTTTGAACAAGAACGATTACCCGACTGGCAGCTGGACGAAAGGAAACCTCACTACCAGCCTAGTGAAGTGGGTTGCGTACTTTTTCAGATCAAAGAGAAATACTTTTGCAGAAGGATCTTTGCATATGAAGCTGGCTGCCTGGCATGATTCCTTTTTGCGTAGGGGGTCGAGGGGTGGAGTAGGCTTCTCTGTGATCCCATAAAGTTTTTCCATGTGGCCTGTAAGGCTGACGCTGCTGCGGCGATAAACGATTGCTTCTCCAAGCTTTATTTGGCACCATTGTGGGTGCCAAGGGGTGAAGCTTATGTGATTGCCAACCTTGGCTTCAAGTATTTGGAGCTGTTCATGGAACTAGCTAAGCAAAGCCGTGAGGAGAATCGGATGTTGTTCCTGCTGAGTCCGAAGGGACACATGCTAATGCACGTGTTCAAGACTATGTTGTGGGAAGCTGACCTTGCAAGTGAGATTCTGAATCCACTCGCGATGGGTGTCCAATTGGAGGAAGATCTAGTTGGCAAGACTTGCCGCCTGGTGCGTCATGTGACCAATGTGAGTTCTTCTTTTGCTATGAAACGCACTTTTCAACGCTACCGAGCCGCTGCGTTTGTTGCGTGGGCAGAGTCTAAGATGGTGATTCGAGCCTAGCTTCAGCTTCTTCACCATACCTTCTCAGAGAGTGACAAATATGCTTTGTGTGTGTGTGTGTGTCGGAGGGTGTGGGTGCATGTGCGGTGCGAGTGAATTTATATGCATGAATCGCGCATGAATGTTTCTTTTGTGGTTCATGTACTGTGGGATATCTTTGGAAGGTGCTGATCATAGAGTGTGATACATCAGAATGTGAGAATGGTACAAAGGCAGGTTTTGCCCAGCAATGTTGGGAAGCCTGGATTTATCCAGGGTCCAGGAGCCGGGGGTATATATACCTAGAGCCTGATTGGCCCCTGTTTTGGAGCCAAAACATGGTCTTTTCCTATCAAAACAAAGGTCAAATGAGTTCTAGGTATATATATATATATTTATTGTAAGCTCCACAAGCATCCTGTCCAAACTTCCCAAGACCTGTAGGTGGGTCGAGCAGTTGCTTTGCTTTCCCGTTATGATCCGGGCCTCGGGGTTCCCAACTTGCAAAAAAGAAGAACGCATCTGCCAAGAAGTGGCAAGCGAAAGGAGCTCTTGTACTCATCCCAGATCAAATATCCACAAACCACCTCAGTGTTCGTCTGGTCGAGGACTCTAGCTCGGGTCCACATCAGATGTCCGTTGCGCGAACGCAGGACAGCGCGCCCAGGACGAGACCGTGAACTCTTCTCTTCCGGGGGGCTCCCTGGTCCTCATCCGTCAAATCCCCAAAGTAAAGCAGCTTCACAAAGGAGACCCCCCGAAATAAAGCAACTAAGAAGCTACTAGTAGCTCCTGGCCATACTACTGTCTCCGTCCCCAAAGGCCACACCACATGGACCTCCTCAGCATGGACAGCACGTCTGCACGAGGACCCGATCACTTCCCCTTCAAATGCGCCAAGGTCATTCATCCCAAGAGATCTGCCAGTTCCTCATCCGTTGGTCTTGCTCCCCCTCTTCGGAACACCTCAAGACCAAGCCACATAAAGCAGCGTGTAGTAGTGAAAGAGGGCCAATAAGCACTCCAAACCTCGGCTCTCTTGGTGTTCACCCGAACACCGATGCTCTTGGAACACAAAAACATCCGGCGCCTCTGGGTCCGTGCCCAACTACCCCACGCGCATGAAGAGAACACAACGGGGTGGATTGCTTAGTTACTCCTGAACAAAAAATATCCTGAGAACCTCCAATTGACAAATACCGGCAACATTACTGTCACAACACCCACCTTGTTTCAGAAACTCCAAGACCATGGTTTTGGACTGTCCTTTCTTCCAAGCCAAGACAATCCCGCCAAGACGCCCCGCTGGAGCCAACTCCTGCCGGACGCGCCGCCCTCGCCCGACGCCTCGCTCACCAGTGGCTCCTCCAGTGAGTGAGGCGCGGGATGCGACGGGAAGAGCTTGGACAACTGATCCTCCAGAAGCTTGAAGCACCTGAAGGTAGATGCTGGCGGGAGGGAGGGTGAAGCTTGCATGGAGTGTGTATATATATATATCAATAAGATTGAATGTGATGTATGCTGAACTGGAACAAAACCGTGGGGGCTTTGTGTGGCTACATCAGGGTCTATTGGCTTCTACAAATCCCCAACCTACTGACCTTCACTCTGTATTTCACCTCCTCCTTCCCGTTCAGCATCGCCACAGACTGAGCCGGGTCTCCCCGACCTCGCCCCCGATGCCACGAAGGCCGCCCGTCGCGGCGCGTCGCGGGGGGCAAGACGCCTTCGGTAGCCGTACAAGAAGACCCTTGGTCCGACCGAGCGTGCGCCTTTTCGCGGGCGGGGCGAGCCCCTATTGGGTCGTGTTTCAGTATTTTGGAGTGTTTGTGTTTCTGTGTTTTGGCTTCTGGTTGTTTCTTGTGTATTATATACATGACACATCATGACACATATTGCAAGTGTTCCTTTTGGTCATGTCATGCTATTTTGGGACCAACGAACTGAGAGTGTTTACAGCAACATGTCCGCACTGGTGGGACTATAGATCAGCACATGTGGAGTGACTTCAGAGCAATTAGATGGCAAATAAATAAAGACCTCTCTGGGAGTTGAAACCATCTGAAACCACTGTAATTACTATAAAGGGGGGGCAGTAAAGCTCATTGCGCCGCGGTCAGTGCTCGACCGGTCCCCTCCTTCCGGTACCGCCCTCCGGCCGAGGCACAGGCCGAAGGCCAGCAAGGGCGCCACGTACAAGATCAGCGTGTGCGGCGGCGGTGCCACTTCCATCGGCGGCGGCGCGTCGGCGGGCCCCGCTCGGCGCGCGGCGGCGCGCGGCGCAGCCGGTCGTCCAGTGGAGGATGGAATTGGGTTTCGTGAAAATGGAGTGAGTATGCATGTGCTGTCACATGTGACACTCATCAAATGAAGGTGCATATTATTGTGTTAGACTCCATTTGCAATTGTGATCGAGAACAGTGACGGGTCAAACAAATGGTCAGAAAAAAAATAGATAACATGCGAACGTGAGCAACAACCTGCACGCTAGACAAGCTTTTTGTGCCATCAGTGTCCTCATCATTCTTTCTGCTTTTCGGGGCTTTTGCAAAGGCACCTCTTCAGCATATCTAAGACACTCTCATGGGCCAAATGGCTGGCAAGATGATGAACATGAATTTCCGTCCTCAATGGATAAGGTCTGTGGAGAAATCAATCAGTCGTCACCAGCTTCACTGCCCTCCAAACACTCTTGGAAAAGCATGGCGATTGACCTCCAAATCAAACCCTCCAAACACAAATGCCAAGCAACGAAACCGCTTCAGCCCTCCCCGCTGAACGATCTCGGCAACATGAAGGAAATCACGTCACCCCCTGTAGCCTGGAGATCACCATGGGTGAACCCCCATGCACTTGGTTTTCTAAATACATATCTACCTTCAGGGACGAGCAGTCGACCTTGGTCCAAGCAGTCGTCAGACTTGATCGCTAGCGGCTCTGATTCGGCTCTTCACGCGACAAAGAAACTCATAAAAAACGAGTCGACTATCTAGATCTGGAATTGAAAACTAATACCTGGACTTGAATAGACAGATTTGAGTGAACCCCCTGTAACCGTCGGTGTGTTCCGAACCCAATCTACCTAACCCATCTTTGTGTTTCGTCCGAAAATCGCCCGCGAGATCCAGCCCGCCAGCCGACCGCGCCCAGTCCGCGCGCGCTGCCTTCAGCCTTGACTGGGCCATGGCTGTGTACCGCCTGGTGACTACTGTGCACGGCAAAAGGCCTCAGCATCACCGCGCCAAACACGGCGTAGCGAGAGAGGAGCGCGCTGGAGCTGTTCGGCCTCCTCGGTTCCCGGTGAGTTGCATGCGAACGAACAAAGGGGCGGGGCTATAGTGACGACGGCCTTTAAAAAGGGTCCCTCTACATACATTTAAACCCAAAGACTCCGTATTTACTCTTACATTGGGCTGGGGTCATTGGGCTGGGATATCTATGCCAGTCACATGACATGAAGTGTTTGGGTTAAAAATCTTGACATGTCTTATACACAGCTGGTATGCAGTTGCCTGCGTCTTTTCGGCTAAACATGCTATTCAAACCAATCATGAAGGGTCCGGTTCAAGAAATGGCGATCATCGTCCAAAGCACTAAATGCATCTTCAGCACCGGTGCGCACCCTTTGCGAACCGGTCCCCACCTCTGTCCCCGCGGGGATGGTGTCTGGGTGTCCGCCACTGTCCGGACTGCTGTGCCTTCACATCTTTAGCCTCCGGAGCAGACGCAAAAACGACCGTGCACAGAGACTGGACGGAGACGGAGACGCTGACCGGTCCATGCCAGAGCGAGCGACACCGAAGTCCTTTCCGATTGGAGCATAAAGCGGACGTCCGGGATGTGATGGAACGGGCGAACGTTGAGGAGTGGACACTGGTGCATGGTGATCCCAGGCGTTTGCCAAGGACATGAGGTGCAAGCGAAACCGAAACCAGTGAAGCGAATGATGTGCAGGTTTGTTTCGGAATCGGTGGAGACATGTGAAGACTTTCGCACCGCTGTCCTTCGGAAATCAGCACGGAACGGTTGAATGGAGGATTCATGATGGATGTCCACGGACTTTGGCGTCCACGCCGGGTGATGTGGGGTTCAAAAACAATCTTTGAGCCCTCATCCTGAAGGGATTTGCCAATGACAGATCCAGCTCATCATCTCGATTGCTTTGATCCGAATTTGGGGGTGAGGATGCGGATCTGAGGGTCCATGGGTTTCTCCAGGCGCTTGCACCCCGGAGCGGCCCGCTCGTCCCAAATGAGGTCTGTGGTCTCCCAAAAGGAGGTGGGGGGAGAAGACGTGAATTTGGTTTGTCAATGACAATTAATAATGAAAACATAATTCTATGATTGTACGAGTATAATATTCTGATTCAAGTCAAGTCAAAACACTTGAGCTGTCTGAAAGCCCATGCTTGTACTCGGTACGGCCTCTGGATCTGACACACACTTCACACATATAGAATAACATCCAACCCACAAGCTTTTTCGGAACCAAAAACTTGAGTCGAGTCCGGTGATTCGTCTTCTTCGTGGCCTTTTGCATGGTCTCTGCAGCAGTGGAATCCTGGCGAATCCGCCGTGTCCATCCGCCGTATGAAGCGAAAAACACGGTCCACTCCGGTCGACCACGGGGTCAGCTGGGCCTTGAGGGAGGCCGGTCGGAGGTTTCACGACCGGTCCAACCGTTTTTGGGGAACTGCAAGCCAAAAAGCGGGACGGAACGTGTACAAGTGCTTCGGTAGCACAGAAATATCTGAGGTATTATGTTTAGAGGAACTCTCAAGTCGACCCAGTCCACGACTTTTGCTTCGCCTCATCAGAGACCACCTCGGAACTCTTCAGCGCCACATCTTCGCTTCCCGTTACGTTGACCTAGCGGATGGCCACGGCTGGCCACGGGGGGCCCATGGGTATGATCTAGATCTTTGGATCTTGAGTGATCTCCATCAACTGGTTGATCATGACTAAGTATAGGTAAATCTCACTATAACCTGCAGTGAATCTTTTTTTTTTGGGGGGGGAACCCATCTGCAGCTAATGGTGAACTCAGTCAGTGTCTCACAACCAATCAGACTCTGTGTCTCTTTATTCCAACCGACCTCCGAAACCTCCGAACGGCATCAAGCAGCGCGTCGCGTCTGAAGCAGAGGTTGTTCTGAACCCGAGTCGTTCGACTATCCCAGTTGGGTAATACAGGTGACGGGTCCTATTGATGGCCAGTTAACCTCTCTTGGAAGCCGATCAAAGATAGGAAGTTCATCGATGCCTTGGCCAAATTTAAAGATGCCAAGAAGTGAAAAGGGCGAATGCCAAGCGACGTGCTGCAGGTGACAAGGCCAATCAAACGTGGGGCACAGGGAGAGTTTGGCAAATGGTGAGCTATAACATTCTGCAGTTTCTTTGTCTAGATTGTCAGACGTGAGTTTAAACATTCCCAGAACTCAACCGAGCTGAGTGATCATATGTGATGGGATGTGATGGGATATTGATATGCGGATGATATCCAATCACATCCCAGACACTCCATGGGACTGCCATATATACCTACATTGGGGTGGTTTGGGAGTCAATGTAGGCATATGTGGCATACATGCATGGAGTGTCTGGGATATATTAAATAATATACACCTTCGCGATCCACATTGAAACCATTTGAAACCGTTAGCATCCGTTAGCCCTAAACCCTTCTTGAAATCCGTTCACCTCCAACACGAACGGCACCTCCAATTCTCCGTTTCACCGCCGGTCACCTGGTGCGAACGGCACCTCGCCTCGTCACTGCTGTTCGTCTCGGTGATCACTGTCTGCGTCACCGGCGTGTGTTCCGTCGCGTGCGTTTGAAACGTGACGTGGTGCAGGATTGGTCGGTTCAAAGAACAGTTCCAAATGGGTCAGAGTTGGTTGGAGCGAGTTCGTGCGGCCGGATCCTGTCAGCGAATGAAGATATGGAGAATTAGTTTAATTTTGAAGAAATCAAGCATGTTCAGCAGGTTGGATGGGAAAATGATGATGCAATAAGTTGAAGAAGTAAAAAGGCCTGCAGAGCGGAATTCCATGCCTCAAGATTCCCACTACTTGAAACATTGTTTCAAACAAATTACAGCACCTGGCTTCAACACTGCGGAGCGCCTCAGCCTCATTGGGTGCCTCGGTCTGGGCTGAAGCTTCTTCGGCCTGGGCTGAAGTTTCTTGCCAGGTGTGATGATACAAAAGCACAAAATCCAGTTGATGCAAAGTCACCGAGTGAAGTCAACCTCCCAATGTCGGAAGACATTACTTTACTTCGAGTGGTCTCCACCATGACATTTCAATCTGACATGTTTTTATGGCACGTATTGAATCATTATTTTGGCATTCTTTCTGGCCAATCTTCTACATTATTTCTGACATGTTTTCTGGCATATCTTCTGAAATTACTTCTGGCATACTTTCTGACACTATTTCCAGTATACCCGGTATACTTTCTGATAATTCTTTCTGACATCTCTTCTGACATGCTTTTTGGCATATCTTCTGACATTCTATCTGGCACATGATATTCTTTCCGGCATTCTATCTGGCATATTTTCTGACTCACGGTTGAGGTCCGGCGATCAACAGTGCCGTCCGGAGGCGGTTGACGTCCGGCGGAGAAACTAAGGCAGCTGACATAAAAACTAACAACCTTCACCTGACCTGACAGGTGGGGAATAAAAACAAGGCCGGCAACGCATGGAGCTTCAAAACGGTGGGGGAACTGAGCTTCACGGTAGTTTTTTCTTGGGGGGGTGGGCGCTTTCTGTCACATCCACGAAGCATCCTGGAATAGAAGCACTGGTGCTTCGAGGCTATCTGCCCAAAACTTCGAACACCTAGTGAATCCAAGTACCCACGATGTACCTGAAGGCTCCTCATCACTGTATCAGTCAAGGACAAGTGCAAAGAAAAAAGAAAAACACTTGATATCCTATATTCACGATGGCGTCACTGTCAAGCCGCGGTTAGTGGATTCCATGTTTTCCAGCACAGAAATAACGCTTCTTTGGTTCTTTAGGGGGGCCACTTTGCAGGCGCTCAACAGAGCTCCATCCGGCCACTGCCATCCAGCGACGCTCTGATCTGTGCCATCCGCTGTGGACTGGTCCTGGTCGTTGAAAGCGAAAAGAGCCGCCAGATCGAGCGGAGGTTTGGGCAATTGGCTGTGCAGGTTGTAGCTTGCCCTGCGTGGTAGGTGGTTCTGTTCGTGTCCCCGCGTCCCGCCCGTTTTTGTTCATACCAATTAATCAGTGGAACTATGCCATATTGATCAAGTCCGGAATGGGTCAAAACAAACTACCTGAAAGCGGGAGCATCACCAGCATACCAGCATTGCTATTGGCCCAAACGTGGTGTTCACCGGCCACTCCAGAGAATCCCTTCATGGCACACCGGTTCGAACCGGCCCTGGCACACCAATGCTGAAAGAAGGCGTCGTTTGTTCGTCCCGACACCGAGGGGTGCCCTGTTTGGAAGCCTATATAGGCTCGTAGTGTGGGGTAGTTCAGCCAGGACACCCCGAGGGTCGGAGGGTCCTGGTATAATCTGAGTCTGTGAAAAATGGTCAATTCTTCAATTGCCGAAGTAGAGACCCAGGTGTGACAGTGCCCCTCCGTGGCAACCTCCAGGGAATGACCCAGTATACTATACCAGTCAGTATACCAGTCACAAACAATACACATGCTTTGCCCGAAAAAACAACCTCAAACGCACATGCTTTACCCGTTTTCCCTTCGCTGCCGTCGGTCCCGTCCTCGCTGTCCTCACGTCCCCCGGAGCCTCGCGGTCCGTTCGGTTTCGGTGAAGCGGTGCAGGTTCCGGTTTTGAGGGTTCTAAGAAGATCTCTGACTCCCCCCCCTTTGGAGTCATCTGCTCAATCCAAATGTGATGCGAAATTGGAGACGACAACTCGATGAGTCAACATGAGTCAACTGGAACTTCAGCCACTGGATCCATCCCTTGAGCTCAAAAGAATCTGGCAGTGGATGGCTCTGGAGTTTCAACTCATGGGCTATTGTTGACGATGGAGAAAGGGGCCAAAGCAACAAGAGAAAATCAAGCAAACAACAACTATTATATAGTTGGTTGGTAGAGAAGGAGGTTTTTAGGGTGTTGACACATTGGCCACGATCCACAACAACAACAAAAAAAAGATCTGCTATACTTCAAAGAATCCAAAATGAAAGGGGTCATCCCCAATTCCTTCGCTTCAAAACATTTCCCCACTCCAAATCCCGTCTTCCAATGTCTCGCTGACTCACCTATAGCCAATGAGCTCAGCTCACTAAGTTCACCTTCTCTTTCTTACCGTCCCCCAGGACTTCCCATGCCCGGAGCCTGCGAGCCGCTCCGCTGCGTCGTTGATCGCCTGCTCGGCCCGGCGGCCTTAGGCGAGCGCCACACACGACCGGTGACTGCCATCGGACGGCCGAGCAGCGGCCGTTATGTTGGAGTTGTTGATTGAAAAGGGGTATGGATCGGCAGTCCCATGGCAGTCTCACTGTGGCATGGAGTGTGGTGGATCCATAAGCAGCGGAATCCATAGAGCCATAGATGCACGGATTCCAATGTTGGAGGGTCTTGATGCGTTTCAAAGCTTTGCACGATGCATGGAGCAAAGCTTATAAAGAGACACGCGATAGTGTGGCAAAAATGAGAGAAACTGCAATCCAAGAACCAATCCAAGGTAATATGATGTAATATGATGTAGTATGCTTATACGAATCATCTCTGCAACGTTTGAATCAAAGACTGGCAGAATAAACTATACACCACATGCATGCACCTATAACACTAAAAAACATGTGTCGTTCTCTTGTGAACTCAATCAAGAACACTGTGGTTTCAAACATACATGGCGCCCACGCCCACGCTGACTCGCACCAGCAGACTCGCGACGCGAGTCGGTCTCCGGGTCGGGTGCTCCAAGGGGCTGGGTTCGTTCGTTGGCTCTTTGACCTGCGGCGGACAGCTGGCAAGTCTTGAGTATAAGATGTATAAGGGGGGAAGCTTCAGAAAAGGACGAACTGTCCAATCTGGCGTTTTGGTTCACTTGATGGTTTAGATGATGTTTTATGCCAACATCGATATTTCCTTACGCGGGGATGAGGAGCCTCCTCAGGGTGCACGTGGCGCGTATGTCTAGCTCCGGGTCAGGATGTCTTGCTGGGTCCAAATGCTATCCCCATCCCAAACACTCCATGTATGCCATATATGCCTACATTGACCCCTCAAACCACCCCAATGTAGGTATTCAATGTGTCATGTCTGGGCATATATCCCCATGACTCCCCCCGTGTTTCCTTCAAGGGCGCAGCGTCGAAAGCAACTGAAAGCGTCCACTCCAGTGCGATACGCAGCCCCCCGCCTCGCTGTTCGCCCCACTGCCCACCTCGGTGCCGACCTCGCTCTGCAACACCTCATCCTCGGCGCGGGCGAGGCGCGGAGGCGGAGGCGGCTGGGGACGTGGGAGGCGGGTTCGGGGTCGGCAATGGCGACCTGTTTCAGTTCCCCTGAAGCCTTTGGGGCTTTTTTCCAGGTCTGGAAACGAAAGTCCCCCCCCAAAGGCTGGAAACCAACGAATTATACTGAATGCGCCACTGAATGCGCCACTAGGGTCAACAAGATCTTGGTCCCCGTTGAGAGGGCGCCCGTGCTTCCCGACCGCTTCGACTCGGCCAGCCGTTCGGCCAGCCGTTCGGCATCGGCCGACGTCAGGGCGTCCCGACCGCAACGACCGAGATCGGTTGCCTCTCTGGTGGCGCATAATCCTCCATGACGCCGCGGAGTGCCTGACCCGATCGCTTTGGGGAGAGGGGGTGACGGTTGGCGGGTTGGGCGCTCTGGTGGCTGAACGGGTTCAAAGATCCAAGTTCATCCAAGTTCTTCAGTTCTTCGATCTTGTGTTTCTTCTTTTGGGGGAGTACTGGGGGGGCCTACTATACCAATATTGATTACAAAAGGCGTTCATGGTGGCTCTTTGGACACTTGTTTGAGCCGCATTCCAATCCTTTCGATTTCTGTGCTTTCTTGTGGGAAGAAGACCAACCTCCAACACATAAAGACTCCGGGCTAGGGAGGTCAATCTTCATCCAGTCTTGGGGCATCGACGTACCTGTTGCTAAAACTGGCACAGCCTTCGCAAGAATGTTTTTTTACCTGTGCAACCCAAACATGACCTTTTGACATGTGTAAATTTGAAAAGACCATGCATATTTTGGGTGGTTAGTGGTCCAAAATGGAGGTCATTCAGGTTCCAGGTATATTTGGTCCCTAAAAGTCAAAGACTCTCAACAAGAATGCTCTTTTCCGCTGCTCTGACCGACGAGAGACAACTCTCTCCCCCAGATCAACAAGTCGAGTTCTTTACGCCGTTGGTCGGGAGATGAGCTTCATCGTTTGTGGGAAGGTACAACCCAACGTAACCCAACCAACTCAACCACAAAAGCCAGAGAGAGAGAGAGAGAGTGTGTGTGTGCACACACAGACGTTGGCGCGAAACTCGTTCTGTCTCTCCTTTCTGGGCGACATCGTCCGACGCTTCGATTAAAGCTTTGTTGAAACGCTGTGATCGCTGTGATGGACAGGGAACTAAAGAATCATCCGGATAGTCAGGGGTTTCGACCATGGCCCCTTATTCTGCTGGTGATGCGATTCTTTGGCTCACACTCAGCACAGGACGTCCCGTCTCCAGTCGAGACGGGCAGTGCATGCTGCCATTTTGGCAAAGTCACACACCTGTGGCAGCCTGCCCCGAGAAGGTTCAATAGGACCTGCGAAACAAGTTAGAACATTCAGGCTGGCCGTAGGCGCAAAACCGCATGCATGCCTTTCAAACACCAGCCAAGAGGTACCGCTTTGAGAATGCAGCTCCTTTGGGACATCTTCCTTTCTCAGGAGGCCTGCAGAAACGCTTCCACTTCTATCTCAAGTCTCAAAAGAACTGCACCTGACCCTTCCGCTGTCAGTGAGTATTTGCCACTGACGCACCGAACATGGATCAAACCTGCGTACCCTGCAAAAGAAAGAACATTCGCTCGAGTGGAGGCCCAGTCTTGACGCGCCAAGTTCAACCATGGAAACCGCCCAAGAAGCGGAATTGATCAGAGCTGAGAAGCATATCAATTGGGGGGTGCCATCTACTCCGAGTCTGGAATCCTCCTTTCTGTTTCACTTCCACGTCTGACGTGGCGTCCACTGGAGGCCAAATTCCACGGTTCGCGAAGCCGTGGGGTCTGGGTGAATCCCAACCACCAAATTCAAAAACCGAAACGATCGCTGCAATTCTCTCCCACCACGAAGGCGTTCGGACCAACAGCCAACGACGGCTTCGCCCTTCGGAACACTGGACGGTTATACGAGCTCTTCTTCGGTTCGAAGAAAGAATTGCATGCACTCCCCCAAAAGTCCAGGGACTGCCTCTCCAAAACACCATGGGACAGCTCTGGACATGTCGTTTCCAGTGGAGCACACGTTTTCGGCAGGAATCTCCTCACGACGCAGCCCCAAGCAATCGATCCATCGATACAACATAAACGGCCTGAGGCGTTGATCGAAACTCTGTTCATGGACCATTATCACATGCTCTTGCAACATAGCCAACCATGAGGGTTATTGGTTGAAATCATGGAGATAGAAGAACTATCGGGAACTATATATAAATACTATCCAACATCATGTGGGATAGTCTCAGCGTGCAGTTGATCTCTCAGGCAAAAAGGTCCCTGAAAATGGAGGTTCAGCCAAACCCGCTGGCACACAAGAACACATGATTGAAAAACAATCAGATGGCCGTGCAGAAAATCACAAGGCCTTTTCCCTCCAATATATGGGGATTTAGTCTGATGAACAGTGTGATATCATGCCTGTGATGGTTGCTCTGCAAACCAGTTCGGAAAAACAAGGAAAGCTGAACAGCAACATTTTGTTTGCTGCAGGGTAGTCGAACCTCATTTTTGTCATTGCCTTTACGTTTTTTCTTTTTAACGCACACTACACAAAACACCACCTGCCCAAGTCAAACGGCAGAGAAAACAAGTAGCCTTACACTTAT